CACGATCGATCGAACGATGATTAAGAGAAGAAAATTCTTTTACTGTGAAAGGAACTTTGGTCAAAATACGACTACACGGATGTGTAACAAAAAAATTAAAAAAATTAACTTTCGATCGCTTTGAAACACGGTTGCAATTCTACTTCTGGATTCTTAAAGTGGTCATGGAAAACGTCGAACGGAAATCACGACCGATGGTAAAACCGTAAAGCTTTTAGTATACCGAAAAACGGAACAAAGTGAGTGCAACCACCGGACGTATCCGGCTTTCACGCACGAAAGAATTTCGTCCTCCGATTTACAGACACAACCTTCACCTCCGCGCCAGAAACAATATTAATAAAGTTGCAAGCTCCGCTCCGCCATCGATTTTAATTCGTTCAAGTTTCAGAACTTTGCTTTAAGAATTACATATTGAGGGTTACATCAATTTTAAAACAATATTTTATCCATTTTGACTCGTATCGGAATTTTATCGTTTAGATTTCTAGTAAAAAATTTCTGATTTCAACTTTTTCGTCCCGGTATTTGTAAATTGTTAATTTTATAAGCTCACAGTGAAATTATTTATCAAGAACTAAAGGTTCGCGCCTAGGTGAGGGATAAACAGTCTTACGTGGCACAATTCGATAAAGTAATTAATAAGCATTTTCACGATCAAAGTATTGAAAAGTCTCGATATACATATTATAAAAATAAATTTTCTTACGCGATTATATATTATTGCGTTTCGTCCCAGATCTATTTATCGAGGAATTCATTATTAAGGCTTATCCAGCAAATCTTGCTTTAGATGTGCCACTGATTGTTTGAATAGTATCCAATTACTCGATAAGTTACTAATACGTATAATTGGCACGGACGAATTGTTCAAACGATTATCTAATAGCGTCGCATCTAAGACTGGATCTGTTAGATAAATCGTACTAATAAGTTCACCTAACAAATCCGGGACCAAGGTAATCTTCGTACCAAAATTATTAGTATTGCCAAATCACGAGTCGATTAAAAGAGCCAAAGAATTTTTTTACACTCTTTTCGTGTAAATTTTACGCCTTTGTAAATGCAGAACTTTATTAAAATTGCAAAATAATAAAACTAGCTTACGTGTCTTTCCTACCACGAACGAATTATATGCCTGAAAACATGTAATTACACAAATAAGAAATTATCTATGATGTGCACAAATTGTCAAATGTAAATTGCCACAATTACCATCGACCTAGATTAAAATAATTCTCATATATATGCCGCAGATAGGTATGTAAATGTACTTTCGAATGGAAATTAAAAAGCGTTCGATAACAAAAGGTCGAAGAAGACATAAAAAATGAAACAGATTCGGCATGAATGTTTGATTTCCTGTACAGATGTACGCGAAAGTATCGAATAACCTTACCGTGCGCATATTCAATCGCAAACATCATCAAATTCCATGCGTCGCCGCGTTCGTCGTTATCCGCGACAACGAATAAATAGAAACGCAAACCATGAAATGGGGGATCGAGCCAAGTCCAAAACAGTATTTATAAAATCGCTTTTCATACTCGTCAGACGATTTAAACGCATAAAGGCAGCCCGTGATGTAATCGCGATTACGTTACACCACGTACCCAATTGCACCGCGTTCCAAACGACAGTTGGTCTAAATCGTGCAAACCGAACGGTGTTTGGAGAGTAGAATAGATCCATCGTCCATCTTTGAGAAATTATCGCATGCCATTATCGACGCCAGAGTCAATTGCATCGACGAAAACTGTCTACAAAGGCACGAATCTTTTGTTCGATCGTTAGATGACACAAGGCTCGTTAAAAATGCATCTGTTAGATATCGCGCTGTTGGTTGCATTAGCGTGACACGTATGTAAGTAAAGTACCGAAAGGCCGAATTTATCTATGGCGCTGCAGACATAGCTCAAGTTCAATAAGCCAACGTAACTGCAAGCGCGTCTAGATACGTTCAGAAGCTTGCACTGATCTACGGATCAGTAGTCGAAGATCGTGCAAACGGTACTGTTCTTTCAAACGTCATACCGAACAGATCGGAGCATAGAAACTTGGCAGCGGACTTTGCTGATTTTTAGTTGTTGGCGACGAGCAAACCGAAGAACGATGCATCCTTCGAGATCGGTGTACTTTTAATTTACTAAAAATTGATTTTTAGACGCGTTCGTCTTGTAAATTGTCAGATCGACTCGAACTCGAAACCGAAGTGTTAAATAGATGAGAATCGAGGATGAAGCTGCTACCAATAATTTGCTTTCTCTCGATCCTGTCCGCGTGTTATGGATTCCGAATATTGGGCATATTTGCCTTTAACGCCAAGAGTCACTTTATGATGTTCGAACGCATGATGAAGGCTCTGGCCGAGAAGGGCCATCAAGTGGACGTGATAAATACGTTTCCTTTGAAGAAACCGTACCCGAATTACAAGGACTTGATCGTGCTCCCGACTAAGCGGCAGTTCGTTAACAACATGACTTTCGACGAAATAATGAAGTCAATGAGAGGTTCGGTGACGTCCGTCGTATCGAACTTGGGAGGGAACGTTGTCTGTGAGAGTTTGGCTGATCCAGCGATACAGAAGTTCGTACGCGATCCACCAAAAAATCCACCTTACGACCTGGTCATCATAGAGGTAAGAATTATTCGTTAAATGCTGGGCATTATTCGTCCGTCGACGATAGTTTCAGTGAGATATGCTTACTCTTCTTATATTTATATTAATTGTAATTTATTATTATTGAATTATCAGTGTCATCGATGTATAGCTTTGAACCACGTTTCTTTATCGAAGAAAATTTTATATTAAATTTACCATTGTTGTAAAAGTCAAACCGTAATAAAATGCTCGATAATTAACACGTTCGTTATCACGCGTTGCGTGTGTGTAAGAGCTATTTTTAATTAAATATTCGTACAGACAAACGGAGTACGATCTGTAGGTCTATTTAGAATAGTTGACCCATCAAACATATTTAATTTATTATATAATTTTCACTCTCCGAGAGGGACGAATGATATCTGACCAATTGTAGATTCCGCAATCAGTAGTTTAGATGAAAAATGAACTTTTGTCATTACGTATACAAGCTTTTAACATCGCGCGTAAATCTTTATCGCAGGACATTGAATGCAATACAGAAGAATTGCTTTATCAGAAATGCACAAGTTCAAGATTATAGACGAAAGATTATTGCCAATATTAACAAAAATGTCTTTATACGTCTAAGCGCCTTCTTTATCGTACTCGACATTTGATACAGCTTATTTTCGTTTCAATGCAAGTCTCGCATCTGCGGATCATAAGACCGACGTACATTTTCTATTCCTTGTATTAGATCCAACACATTATTTATCGTCGTCGAGTAGACCATTGCCTTTAGGCGATTCCACAAAATGGAATCGAAAGAATTTGATATTTTTCGGTATTATAAACCTTTAAAGTTTTTTTTATCATCCTGTACATATACATATGAAACGATACATAGTTAAAGAAATAGATTCACTTGTGTGTGTATTCATGGTAATTAAAAAAAGGTTGCATAACGTTTTGTCGTATGGAAACAATATACGTACATACTATCTTATCGTGTCTCTTTGTCCTGTTTATTTTCCATTAAAAAATCGATAAATATTTCTGTCGTTTCTCGATTGGAACGATACCGTTTGTCAATCTTGGCACACGGTGCAAAATTTTCTAAGTTTGTAATTGCAATTTTTCCGAGAGCGTTTCATAACAAGATAAACCCGTATTACGATACGCGTACAGAATTGAAATACAGATCCGTTGTTCGCATGCTGATAGAAGTAAAAATGGACTTGGAAAAGCTTCCATCGCTTATCCCGATAGATAGTACTTTTCCTTCGTTCCGTTGAGCAATGATTCCCCTGATAGGCACGTAACAAGCAATATTAAAAGATGACCAAGCAAGATTTGTTTAACAGTTAGGTCATGGACACGAATAAACACCAATTGTAAGCACTCGAGTGCGACAAGCTGGCCGATTTCAAAGACAAATTTCTGGAATATCGATGTTTAATTGCAAATTTTTTATGTATAATTAATGGAAAGAAAAATCATAAGATAACTGGACACCGCTAAGAAAACATGTCAATAGCTAATGGTAGAAACACATAGATAGCTCTAAAAGATAACTCTATTTTTCTGAAGCTAGAAATCGTTTAGAAACATTTGGTAGTTTCCATCGTCCATACCAATTAGTCAACGTCCCGACTTGTCTTTCGTCACTGAACTTGGCACTTGCTGTGTGATTAGAAACGTTAACGGTGTTTTGTTCGAAGATAGAATAGTGCCGAGTCATATATGTATTCACTTCCTTGCATGTCATAGTTACGTAATAATTGAACCGAAGGAGCAACAGACTGTTCCAGATACCAACGTAATCCTATTTTAAAAACAAAACGCGTTACTGTATCTTATTATTATTATCATTTTAGATAATTAGGTTTACAAAATCAACGTATTTTGTCAATTTAAAAAAAAATTCTTACACGCGTGCAGATATTAAGCTTCGAATTTCCAAATCTGACCATGGACTATCGATTGAACAATATTTTCGGAAATTAATAGACCCAGAAAATTGAAACGCTGAACTGGGTCGAGAGAATCTTTTAAATCCGCTCGAGTTCTCTGCTCGACGATCGATGGATACACTAATCGTTTAAAAAATCTCGACTCTTCCGTTAACTATCGTGCTTTTATCGTCGAACGATGCAACGACGAATGCAACTATTGAACTCAAAGCGTTGCATAATGATTCCAATGTTACTCAAAGTGCTTTGCGACATGTGTCGAAACACGTGACGACATATCGTTCAAAAATAAAAGAAAAAAAGTAATACGATAAAGTGAAAGTGATTTTGATATTTTTATCCTCCAGCAGCTTCGACGATTTATAGTAAAATAGAAATGGTTTCGTAATCGCAATTTATTAATAAATTCAAAATAGCCCGCTAACGATAGGTACCATTAATGGACGCTTCGAAACAGCATTTACATATGAAATCGTTTAACATACTAACGACATAATTTGAGCAACGAAGGACGTCAGAATATTGAAATTGTTTGTAACCTATGATAGGCTTCACGAATAGTTTCAAACAAAATTACAACCGCCTTGCTGGGTGAACAGAACCGACCGATTGAACTCGCTCGAATTATCTCTTGAACGAGTCCGTTGACATACATTGTATATTCGTTAAAGAATCTCAGTTTCCCCATTATATGTACATATACATATGTATCGTGCTTCTGTCATCAAGCATTATAGCTTGGGTGTTTATCTACGAGACTGTAAGCGTTTCATAAAATCATTTGCCCCAGTGTTACGCGAAACGTCTGCCAACATGTACCGAAACTTTAGCTAGCTGATCAGCCCAGCGGATATTTCAAGATTGTGCAATCTCTTCCAGTACCACCATCAAGAAGCTAATTAACCTAACTAGATTCGACTACAGAGGTTACGACCCGATTGTACACAGTTTCTTTAAAATAATTATCAACGTTTAAGAAATCATACTCGACAGCTGATCTCGGCGAAGAGCAGAAAGGATCGTGCTAGTGAAGAACAATGTGCCTTTAAAGATCATCGTAACTTGTAACAATCGATCTCATAGTCGAAGGTGAAGTGAAATTAAATAAACGAGAAACGAAGATGAAGCTGCTACCGATAGTTTGTCTCTGGGTGTTGGTGTCGATGTGCGATGGATATCGAATATTAGGCGTGTTCCCTTTCAATGGAAAGAGTCACTTTGTGATGTTCGAACACATGATGAAGAGTCTGGCGAAAAAAGGCCATCAGGTAGACGTAATAAGCACGTTTCCTCTCAAGAAACCGTTCCCGAATTACACGGATTTGGTCGTGCTTCCGGTATCGTCGATAAACATGGTAAACAACATGTCGTTCGAGTTATTGAACGACGTATTTAAAGCGTCGGCGACGTACTGTGTGTCGGTGATAGCAGGAAATTCTGTCTGTGACAATTTGGGGCATGAAAAAATACAAAAACTCGTGCACGATCCGCCCAAGGACCCACCATACGACTTGCTCATCTTGGAGGTACGAATTCAAGAGATAATATTATACAATATTATAATACCGTTCCAAACCATTCTTTTCAATTTCTCTGCCACCTTGTATCGGTGTTTTGTTTCCCTGTCTCTTGGAGTATAAGCACGTAATACACCCGAGATAATGAAAGTTTACGTCAACTATCTATCATTTTCTTACAATGTTGCACAACGTTGCACTCGATTATTTTCGTTTCCGAGAGTTGAAGCTCTTTCAATCTGTACCAGTGTTTCCCAACCTTTTTTCTGCTATGCCCCTCCTAAGCCTTTCCAAAATTCTTACGATCCTCCCCAGCAAAATATTCAAAAATTGAAATGTTCACCGAAGAAACTCGAATGATAGGTTCTAGGAAGAAATCGGTAAGAAATTATTTAGCAAACACAGTAAGTAAATTTTAAAAACATACACATTAATTATTAGTAATTATTTGTTATTTAAATTTAGCGAGATCCTTGCGCTTGATGCTTGCTGCAAAGAGATTTTAAAAGGATCAAATGAAATTTCAAGAACGTGTATCACGGCTGTTAAATGACCTCGTCGAATGACAATACTAGCTCTGACACGGTGCGTTAACTTAACACGCGACTATTACAAACAAGACAATTAGGCTACATACGTGGACGGAACAGCGAGTACGGGTGACTCGCGTTAAATGTCGCAGATTGAATTAAACTCCCTCAAGGCTGATTGCTCGGTTTCTCCGTAATCGTGCTTCGGTCGTCGGAACGACTCGCATATGTATGTATTTCGCGATTACTTTATTCGTAACGCAGTAAACTATCAACGAACGATAATCGATACGACAAAGATTAAAAATGAATAATGGATTTTGGAACGTAATTAAATGATTACGCAGGCATGATCTTTTCACCGACGATCGTTTCCAAAGTTCAAAGCGTTATCACATTTTCGGATATGATTATCTCGATTACTGTTCTATTTTCGGAACAGACTGATCTCTTAGTCAACTGGGAAACCGTTTTTGTTGATCTAAAATTCTTTCTTTACAATTTGCGGAATCTATATTTTTCGCGATAATGGATTCAAGAGCCTAGATCGCATCATTTACGAAACTATTATCGCTATCGACCCTAGTGATAATCAAACACTTTTGAATTTTTTAATTCAATAAAAGCACCGAGCACGATACTAGTATTTTTCCACGCTTGATATTTTCTATGTCTCCATATTTCCTTATTTTTCGCAAATACCTTCTTCAACGCGGAACAGCGTCTTTCCTCTCGGTTCAACAGCTATCATTCTCTCGAAAAAATTTTTAAACTCGTATTATTTAAGAATTTATGAAGCAGAATTCTTTCCAAGACGAGCAGAGGACAGCCGCAAATTGTTCCTTATTTTGTTCTGCCTCTGCTCGTCGAACAGAGCACACGTCAGAGCACTCGTCTGATATTTGGGTAAACAAAACTTTCAACGACCGTTCGAGTACCACCGTCCAACGATCAATCTTAATTGAGATTGCTAACGAATATCAATCTCTCCAACGGATATCATATTTCTATCGTAAGACGAATCAAATATTTTAATAGCTGATTGATCGATGACGGTTTAACAAGCACAGATGCCATACGGTAATTTAGTCACTCTAACTCCAAAGCGCCTCGGAATATGTACCAAAGCTTTTACTGACCCATCGCTTCAGCGAACACACGAATATCGTGCAAGTATATCCTGTGGACCTTTCGCCAGAGAAAACAAAGTAATCCAGCTAAGTAGTTTCAAGCACAGAGTTTCTGTTTAAGTTCTACTGATTTTCTAACAAATTACCGACAGTTTGTACATATGTATTCAAGGATCGCGGCAATCTCCTACGTTCACACCCTTAAACGGCAATGCGACGCGAGATTATCAGAAATTAAGTTTAATTTCAGACAATAAATTGAGTAGAATTCGAAAGTGAAGTGAAATTAAAGAAACGAAAATCGAGAATGAAGCTTTTGCCGATCATTTTCCTCTGGGCGACGCTATCTGTGTGCCATGGATATCGAATATTGGGCGTGTTTCCTTACAAAGGCAAGAGTCATTTCGTCATGTTCGAACAGTTGATGAAGTGTCTGGCTAACAAAGGTCATCAGGTGGACGTAATAAGTACCTACGCTATGAAGAAACCGATCCCGAATTACACGGATTTGGTCGTGCTCCCAGTGCCGGAGGCCTTTTTAAACAATCTAACATATACTATGATGAAGAGTTATACGGATCCGTCGATGGCTTACCTCACAGCCAGAACGTTAGGAAATAACCTTTGTCAGGATTTGGCCCACCCAGGTATACAAAATCTCGTACGCGATCCGCCCAACGATCCACATTACGATTTGGTTATCATCGAGGTATGAAACTCGTTGCTTTCTTACATTTTTTTACGTACGAATAAATTTTACTTCCGCGTCTTCCAAATAACAGCAAGAATTACAAATCATATCGATACACTATTTGCTGAAATCGTACCGTTTCTTAATCATAGCGTGGATATGATTTAAAATTTTTCTGTACACCGCAGATTTTTAGCTGTTTTCTTTGAAACTTTCTCCATATATGTACTATACATACATATAAGTAAATTACTCTTGAACACATAAAAAAAGAACTTTGTATCGGCGTACCAAATCTTGCTGTGTTGAGGAGACGATTATTAGGAACAGATGAGACGCACGCAACATAAACTTCCAATTATAATTTTATTATCAGTATCTACACTGTATTCGTCGATTATATAAATCTGAAAACATTTCGTCGTATAATATTCAGCCAGAATTTATAAAATTTGTTTAACCTCGTATAGACGAATCTGTTAAATCGTTAAAGTCGATACGATACAATTTGGATCATCTCCTTATACGTATCAACGATATTTAATCGCGATAGAGTGGCACTGTTTAATGCTACGTATAAAGTGAATAGCAGAGCCAAATGAAAACCGAATAAGTTTCCGTATTTTCGAAATCGTTGAGGAATGCAAAACAAGGAAAGAGGCGAATGCAGCGTAATCGAAACAAAAACGTGCAAGCCGTCGTGTTAAATATAAGCTTCGACAGTTTCACTTTAGATTTCTATCGAACCAGACGGGATACTCGAGCAATAGGAATGAAGGAATCAATTTCGACGATTTCCTGGATAACTTTGCGACAACATGAATGAAAATAAGAGTATGTAGTCGCATAGATTTAGAAGAGGGTTATTCGTCGGTGAAAGAACCCCAATCACTCTGTTAGATATCGTAAAGCAAGTTGAATATTGTAACGTCAGATTTATCTACAGCACTCTCTAAGTACATATAGCGCTAGTTTATCGCGCCAGTATAGCTACAAGTGCCTCGTGACATGTGTCGCAGCTTACATTGTCACATCGATTCAACAGTGAACCGAGGATCGTGCGATCATTCCGAGTGCTCCTTTACATTACTCCAATGAAATTACCGATGCTTGAGAGGTACATTTTCGATAAAAAAAATCCTATCGAAGAACGAAGAACGAAAAACTAAAGTTACTATATATTGGCGAGATTCGCTCGTAAACAGTAGGGCCAACTTGAGTTCCGAGGTGAACGAAAATTAAATAAGCAAGATGAAGCTGCTGCCAATAATTTGTCTCTGGATAATGATATCTATGTGCGATGGATATCGAATATTGGGCGTGTTTCCTCTCAACGGGAAGAGTCACTTCATGATGTTCGGACATTTAATGAAGACTCTGGCCAGAAAGGGCCACCAAGTGGACGTAATAAGCACGTTTCCTCTTAAAAACCCGATCCCGAATTACACGGACTTGATCGCGCTTAAAGTAGAGAAACAGATAGTGAACAACGTGACTTACGATGAGATAGTGGAGGAGGGAAAAATTTCAACGGCTTACGCTATGGGCACGTATTTGGGAAACAGTATCTGTGAAAATTTAAAAAATCCTCGGATACAAAAGCTCGTACGTAATCCTCCCAAGGATCCGCCCTACGACTTGATCGTCATGGAGGTATGAACTTAAGCTTCCCTCGCTAACTGTGTTCTTGGTATATTTCTTTTTTTTTTCTCACTCTCCCGACACTCGTGAGAAGCTCGTAAAAATATTGTACGATTGTTCTTTTTAGCATAATTGGATAGAGATTTCGGAAGATTTACGAGCAAGTTTGTATTTTGAAACTGTTAGTATGCTTGGCAAGTGACAATATGACTGACCTAGAACTGCTATCTTAAGAAGTTAATTTCATAACTGGCAAAGGTCCAGCTATATTTTTTATTCGAATTGGTTCGTAAGACAATATAATTCTATACATTTTAATTCAATGCAGATTTTAATGCAAAAACACTTTTATTATATAGTTCGAGCAGAGACTTTGCACGCCTTTGGTGTGCAAGAATCGCTAAATATTTCTGTACACACGTATTGTGAAATATACATACCTCGACCGACTGAATATTTGAAAAGCAGGTTCTCCTGTCGAGTAAGATCTGTAATATTGTCAGCGCTTGATTGAACCAAAGGGGATTGGACAAAGTGGCCGGCTGTACTATGGTTTCGTACTATAATTTAAACACAAATTACTATTATCAGCTTGTCGAGTGACCCCTATAACGCGATCTATGTACATACGTCTCGTGGAATCTACACGAGTTAAGTGAGATGACGAAAGTAGCGAATCTCCTAACGAACAGTAGCGATTGTGCCCGAAACTTCTCACAGTTCTTTGATAAATTTTTATTTCAATATTTATTCAAACAATTTTTGGAGATTTAAAGATTTATAAATGAAAAAATTCTTCTTAATTCTTTTTCGAAAAACAGTAATTACATCTGACATTCTAACAAAATATAGATCCTAGCCTCAAATCCCCTTGAACACGTCGGTTGCACGCAAGTACGAAATTAAGAGATGTAGAACATCATCAATTAACTGCAAACTTTCCGGGTAATTGGTAGAAACAGAAATCGCACAATGTCTCTGATATTACACTTCGGGGGTAGAGAATAGTAGATGGAAGTCAAAGAGATTGGTTGCTCGAACGTGAAACTTTCCCCAACTTCAATCATTCGGTAATATAGTATACTACCTACGTTAAATTTCGTTCAATACACGAAACGTTCAACTTACGTAAACGTGTAAGCAGTAAATTAGATTACGTTTCGATCTCTTCGTCAATCAGTATTCGACGATTCTTATTATTAGATCGTTCGTTGGAAAATGCAAAAGTCTAATACAGGAACGATGAACCTTTTCGAGTATTTCATTGATTATGTACATATATCCATCGTGAAATTTTGGTAAATCAATTTCTCAGTTTTACTGTGCGAATGTACATCCGAATAAACGTTCTTGGTATTCGTCAAATTCCTTGGGATCGATCTATACGCGATGCTAAACTGTTGTCAGTAGTTTTAAAATAGTATTTATAAAAAGTCTTGTTATTCAATCGTTACATAAATGCATAAGAGCATCTGTGACGCAACAAATATCGAAACATACGTATGCATAAAATATTATTGCAATTGATAGTTCATCTCGATCATTTAAACCGAACGGTACTTGGACCGTGAAAAGTATCAGTTTTGAAAAAATAGAACCTAACCAGAGGACCAGTTTCCCGATGGAGCAATCTGTTCAATAGTTTGCTGATATGCCACAAGTTGTGCGATGTAACATTTTATTTAAACATGGATCTACCGTCCTATTGAGACTTCGCTTGCCAGTAAATTGAAGCACAGACTCTCTCTCTGCTGCAGTTTGCTTATTCTGTTCTAAAGAATTCATGTTGATCAAACTACACCGAACTCGAAGAAGGTGCAGTGACGTTAAATAATTGAGGATCAAGATGAAGTTGCTGTCGATAATCTGCCTTTGGGCAATGCTATTCATGCGTCACGGATATCGAATATTGGGCGTGTTTCCATACAAAGGGAAGAGTCATTTCATAATGTTCGAACACATGATGAAGAGTCTGGCTAGAAAGGGTCACCAGGTGGACGTAATAGGCATGTTGTTTCCTCTTAAAAAACCGATTCCGAATTACACGGATGTGGTCGTCCTTCCAGTGTCCACGGCGTTTATGAACAATTTGACTTATTCAAAATTCCAATACAGCCTAAATCAGCCTATGTCTTACGTAATAGCCACGTTGGTGGGAAACGATATCTGTCACTTTTTTTTGGGACATCCTGATGTACAAAAGCTCGTGCGTGATCCGCCCAAGGATCCACCTTACGACTTGGTTATCATCGAGGTACGAGTTTCACTTTTCCAATTTATCATTTTTTTGCATCTAGGAAGAATCATGATTATCAAGACGTCTTCTATATGTATATGTATTATTACATTCGTTAAGATCTTTTTACCTATTTCCATGAACGCTATGCGTAGCCCCTCCCTCTCTCGAATCACATGCTCTGTACTTATTGTTCCTCTCGAAAAGAATTCTTGCTCGTACTACAAAGCGATACAAAACACCTGACAATGAAAGTGGGGGCTCGATAGAGTGCAAGTGTTGATGGAAACTCGAGAAATTTTCACACTTTCACGTTTATAAATACACATGTCTCGTTTGAAAGAAATACTGATTGACTCTTATTAATTCTTATAAGTGGATATATGTACGTATAAAAAGACCAATCGAACGGAATTTCGTAAAATCATCCCTTAAAATAATTTCTCTTAATTACGAACATACGACTGAACGTTATTGACTATCACGTCATAACGCGCTGTTTACGTTTCGTGCAAAATACAATATGCGTTGACACATTAGCGGCAACAATCTTTTTACTAAAACGTATTAAGCATGCAACAGCGGTACGATAGTGTCGTTCTATAGACTCTCTCTATGACTCGATCACGAGCACAGCCTTTAATATGTTTTCTGCGGGGACGTGTTATTCGGATAGGTACGACGGATAGTTTGAACGTTAAAAAAGATAGATGGAAAATATCGATGGAGATCTTTCCATTTCTATATGGGTTGATACGGGCTTAGGGAAAATTAGATAAGATCGATGGACTCGTAATGAATTTACAAAGAGCTTAATTTCAAATTTAACACAGGAAATTGAAAGGAATTATGTATATACATATAATCTTTTAAGCAAGTAATCATCTTATCGTTCAAGTACGTTAAAATCAGATTACTCGCGAGTATCGATAGGAAATTGCTGGAAGGAGCGGTATATGCGTGCTTTTCTTATCGCCAAAACATAATAATAATAGCGAAAGCGTTCATTATATCGCGATGGCTACAGTACCGTAAGGTTTACTAAACGTTCGAAGGGGTCTATAACCCGACTCTTCATCGTTGCTTGCTCTCGAACGATAATTATTCGTAAGTCTTTGCTTGAGAAACCGAGCCCGTGAAACGTGCAGCATGCATGCTCCTTTTATACCTGAAAATTCTACTAAAATAATAGAGAGGGCGTGCATGCTACTAATCTGATATGAATTTTCATGGAAAGTCCAGCCACGCCACACCATCGCGAGGGCAATGACCTTATCCAGACGAGCGAGAAAATGAAATATTCTTGGAAAAAATAACAATTAAGTAGAACCGGTGGAAAATATTATATTGTATTAATAAAGAAAAGAATTTACGAAAACGATGGAAACTTTTAATAATAATTAGCGTCGCGATCGAATATCACTAGCCGAAGTTCGATTCGACAGACTTTCCAAGAAACGCACAATTCGTTTCTGAATTGAAACGGAACAGTCTGTACGTGTCATACGTTTTCAAGTGTCTTACACAACGCTCACGTGTTTCGTACACATCGGCATAGCACGAGGATAGAATGCCGAACGTCTGCTTAACAAACAAAATCAAACGCATCTCCAAGTCGAGGCATTATTGTACTAAGAGCTCTGAAAATTGTTGCTAATTATTCCGTCTCTTCGTGGTTCCACTCCACCCTATACGACCCTCCCTTTCTCGTAATCCACAACCCTCGTCCACTTTATTGCTCGCCAATATGATCACGATATTAATACGCAACAGTTTATTAGACGCGTTGGCCATTATTTTCGCTGCACGGACGACATCGGCATTTCTAATGCCTGAACAAATCTCAACTCGAAGCAACCATGTTTAATTCGTACAAATAAAAATAAGTCATAATTATTAATAGAATTAATGAAACGAAAGCTTCCCAGAGGGCTGTCCGAACCCCTAAATACATATAATAATTCGTATCTTGCTTTAAGTATTTCTTATATTTTTGCATATTAAATGCATTCTGTAGTTTTTTCAGGATTAAAATTTCCCATAAATGCATAAACATTCGCAGTCTAGTCATAAGTAACGTGTAAAGAATTTATCATTATTTCCTCAAAGGATTTCCTAAACCACGAACGTTTGAATTTTACTTGGCGAGAATCATTATTTCTATCGATAAGAATTTTACATATCTCATTTATTCCAAGAGAGCTGGTTAGAAATTATTGTCGATGTACAGAGTGTTTCATAACGTATGATATCTACTTGAACGGTAGACAGGAAACATAAAAATAACTTTGAACGTTCACAGCTTTGGAACAAGTCTGGTATTAGAAATTGTTCGATTACAATTATCGTGACTCGGCGGTTTGCGTCGACCTTCGACCGTAATGCATTTAACGATTTGACTAGCCAGCTCATGAATTGTAAAGTACGAACGCAGCCTTTTTTTAATCAGCCTAATGTGGTTCCGATATTATTTACTCGGTGTATTTTCTACAAGACATTTTCTCTCCTACCTCGACAGCATTATTTACGTGAACCGTTGTTGGTAATTTACTGTCAAATTGCAGCGAGTTCGAGTGTAATAGAAACTAATCGCGAGAAATCATAAATAACGACGGTGAAAGTAAAAAGAACGCGACACGATAATCTTTATCGAATTCGTTCTTTTTAAACGAAACTCGTAAATTAACAGGCGTCGTTAAGAAACTTCAGTTGCGCAAACAGTTTGCTTGTAATTACAAAGTCATTGTGCCTAATCTAGAAACATGCGATAATAATGACACCCGAGACTAACGATGACACACCCATGTTCTGTTATTATTCGATAAATCATTATCGACGGCGATAATTATTGATACGACGGAAGAGGGTAAAAAATTGTAGCGAATAAAGTACAGAATTGCTGTGTAATCGTTTCGCGTAAATCCAAAATCCAACTCCTGGCCGAGTAATGAAAAATAGACTCGATTTGGAAAAAGAAGCAAGAAAAGAATATTTGGAGTCAAGATGGTGGCATTTAAGTATACATATTTCGTGCCTGCATTTTGGGTAGTTGAACGTGTCCGATGTGGAAGGTACGGAAGGAAAAGAGAATACGGACGAAAGAGGATAAAATAGATTATACGGTATCTCGGAATCTCGGAATCTCGGAATCTCGGGGAAATAAATCTTTTCGGGCAGTATAATTTTCTCTTCACCGAATGGACCCTTCGCGAAGACTGCTATCGTTGCTCTCTAATGCTACATATCCGCTCGAGAGTTTTACCCGCGTGGGTTGCTATCGAATGAGGGAATATAGTATCCGTGTGAAAGAAACCATACTGTCGATGTTGGGTCTAAACTGGCTTACTGGGCGGGAAAAATGAAATTGCAATTGACGATTGACGATTCATCTTCGTTATCTTCTGCGCTATATTTGCTACACTCGTAAAGCGTGTACAAGACTTGAAAGAAATTTCAGACTTCCAACACGGATGGCCAACTGCTGCGTAAATTCCAAGCATTGTAACACCGTGTAGTTTCCAAACATTCCTACAGTCGTCGGTAATACCCAATGACCAAAACTTCTCCTCCGCGTCATCGGACGCTAAAGTTTTAAGACAGGTGAGCTAGGAAATCCCAAGGGTGCGCTTGCAAATGGCTGCATCGAAGATGGATCGTTCGTAGAACAATTCCATCGTTTCGCGGTCGACTCAATTCATTGGTATCTTTTCATCAAACCTTACTCAACGCCTAAAACTATTCTTCCTTGATCTGTTTCAGATATTCGGTGCTCATTGTTACGCGGCTATCGGTCACATATTAAAAGTGCCCGTGGTGGGAGTGAGTTCTTCGGTTCTTTATCCATGGAGCAACGACATGATCGCCAATCCAGAGAATCTTGCCTTCGCGCCGAACAATCTCCTCTCTTACTCCCAGCACATGAGCTTCTCGCAGAGGACGTATAATCTTCTGCACACTTTGTACAACAAATTTTACTTTAATTACGCGACGCGAGAACAGAACGAGATCATGCGAAAGTACCTGGGCCCCGGATTACCGGACATCAGGGAACTGGAAAACAGCGTCGCGATGATCTTGACTAATTCTCACATGTCCATGAACGGAATAAAGGATACGGCGCCGGCGCTTATCGAAGTCGGAGGATTACACGTTCAAGAGGAGGGAGTGGAACTGCCTGCTGTAATTACTGTTCCCATGTCGTTTTAAATGCCCCTTCTAATCTCGTACCTCGTACACCGGAACGGTTCCAACGTCGCTAAATTGGACCACTCGAGCTTACGCGTTTATGGTTTTGGCTTCGAGTCAGGGACATTCGACGATTCAAAATATAGTAAATTTTTACCGGAAACATTGTTGTTTAAACGACATATAACGCGTCTTTCAGAGCCTAGAAAAATGGATGAACGAGAGCACCAGTGGATTTATGTACTTCTCGTTCGGATCGATGGTGAAAATCGAATCTTTCCCGGCCAAATATCTGGAAATATTCTACAACTCTCTGGGAAAGATAGCACCTGTTCGAGTTTTAATGAAAATTCCAAATCCGAGCGAGCTGCCGCCTGGCTTACCGAAAAACATTCACATTTTACCATGGATTCCCCAGGTCAAAGTTCTGAGTAAGTCGCTTTCCTTAAAAGCATTTCAAACAAGACTAAATGGGTCGAGCCCGAAACAGATAAAACGAACAAGTATGCCAGTTTTATCGAAAATACTTTTGAGCAATTCTATTTGCTTCGGTCTATACGATGATAATGATAAAAGGACGAGGAAAAAAGAATAGAGATTTTGTAAAACGTAGAATCGTTTATATCCCATTAAGTAGTTTAAAAGAGACAAGGAATACAGAGCCTATTTTATTAGATTTATTGTTAGTGGTTTCTTAAAAGATTGCAATTAATTACAAGGCACGATGGAAACAAATAGAAACGTTTTTGAATAACATCGAGTCTGTTCTTGCAGAGCATCGAAACATAAAAGCGTTCATCACTCATGGTGGTCTTATGGGCACACAGGAAGCGATTCACTACGGTGTACCCCTAATTGGTATACCGCTATTTGCCGATCAATTTATCAATATCGATACCTACGTTCGTAACAACATTGCAGTAGGATTAGACATCGAGACACTGACTCAGGAGGAAATGGACAAAGCGCTGCACGCCATTCTACACGATCCCAAATACAGGTAGATTATTGCATATTGGTTTAACATTCTCCCTAAACACATATTAAAATCATGCTCCAAGCGTAAATAAAATATTCAGATGCACAAATACCAAGTATAAACTTTTATCTTATGTACTGGGTCCGCCATCTAACGTTTTTTTTTCAAGTACGTAGTGCTTATTTCGTGAATGGTAACACTTAGCTCATGTCTGATTTGACAGATACATAATTAGTTTTATCCTTCCGCTGAACGAATATGGTTGTGTATACGCTTGAACAACGCTGGGAAATATTGCGACATTACTTTGAAAATCATGGTAATGTTGCAGAATGTGTGCGAAAATTGCGTACGGATTTTGGAAGAAGAGAAGCACCGTCAGCTCCGTATGTTCGTTATCTTGTGAAAAAAGTGAAAGAAACTGGCATCCTCGTCGATAAACCAAAGCGTGAAAAGCCAAAAACAGTGCGTACACCCGAGAATATTGCTGCTGCGGCAGAAAGTGTGCGTGAAGCGCCATCAACATCATCAATTCACCGTCGTTCTCACCAATTGAACATTTCGGAGACATCATTGAGACGAATTTTGCATAAAGACCTTGGTATGACGCTATACAAAGTCCAATTGGTTCAGGAGTTGAAGAAGCCAACTGACCATCCAATGCGTTTTCGCTTCGCTAAGTGGGCCTGCGATCGACTTACAGAAGATGCCGATTTTGCCAAAAAAATCATCTTTTCAGATGAAGCTCATTTCGATCTTGGCGGGTATGTAAACAAGCAAAATTGTCGCATTTGGGGCACAGAAAACCCGCACACGCATACATTGAAAAGCCGGTGCACCCAAAACGAGCCACTGTTTGGTGCGGATTTTGGTCCAGAGGCATAATTGGGCCATTTTAATTCGAAAATGAGCAAGGAGTGGCCTTTACAGTCAATTGCGATCGTTATCGGGCCATGTTGAACGAATTTTTTTTCACAAAAATTGAAGAGGAGGATATTGGCAACATTTGGTTTCAACAGGACGGCGCTACGTGCCACACAGCCGAAGCTACACTCGATGCTTTGCGCCCTGTTTTTGAAGATCGCATTATCAGCCGCATAGCTGATGTCGTTTGGCCACCTCGGAGCTGCGATTTGACACCGTTGGACTATTATTTGTGGGGTGCCGTCAAAGATAAGTGTTACGCCGACAAGCCAGAGACAATTGACGCTTTAAAGGACAATATTCGTGAAGCCATTGGTGGAAATACAGCTGCACACAATCGATAATGTGCTTAAAAATTGGACCGATCGTGAAGGCTACTGCATGGCCAGCCGAGGCAGCCATTTGAATGAAATTATTTTCCATTATTAACCGGAAGGATTGTACTTTCAAATAAGAAAAGAAATTTGAGAAAATATTCAGTAGTTTTTTTTATAGCATTTTCAAGAAAAAAAAAAGTTATTTGGCGGACCCGGTATTTTTATTGGGATATTTTTGGGGTATTTTTAATGAAAACATTTTAATGGGAGATTCTAGACGCCAAAATAAGACGAAAATCAAGGATACTAATTTATTGATCGAAGCTTCGTTAAAAAGTTATAGAAACATTTACGGCCACAGAGTATATTTTCGGTAAAGAATTTTTTTATGTGTATTGGCTAAAAATGATTGTAATTGACCCCTGAACCTAAAAATAATTTTTTTAGAACGATTTGAAATTTTTTTAATTTTGTCGACTTTGTCCATCTACCCGAATTTTTTTCTCGAAAATGCGTAGGATTTCGAGGGTATGATTATTCACCAAAAATGATTGCAATTGACCCCCGCAACCGAAAATAAATACTTTTTCCAGAACGATTTGAAATATTTTAATTTAATTTTTTAATAACTTTTTAACGAAGCCTCAATCGACAAATTGATATTCTTCATTTTCGTCTTATTTTGGTCTTTAGAATCTCTCATTAAAATTTGTGCCAGGGGTAGCCGAACACCCTGTATAATAATTTAAGAACGAGAGATTGCAAATTAGAAAATGGATGTTGAAAATTACAAATTTGAATGTGGGCATTGATAATTACAATGATGGCGGAGGAGGGGGGGTGAATAAGAAATTAAAATATCGAGTTAAAAATATCAAATTGCACAAATACGAATAATTCAACTGTATTTTGTGTCTCGTTTTCAGGGATACGGTGCGGAAGATTTCTGCCAAGTTCTTAGATCGACCTCTGAGCGCGACGGATACTGCTGTTTATTGGATCGAATACATTATTAGACACGGTGCAGATGCGCTTAGATCACCCGCGATGGATTTAACATGGTGGCAAGTGCAGCTATTGGACGTTTACGCGTTCCTTCTGGTTGTCGCGCTGCTTTCGGTTTATCTTTTAATAGTCGCGGTACGATTCGTGTTGAAGTCAGCGAATGGCAATCAGAAAGTGTCAAACAAGAAAAAAGTTTCATGAAAACTTTCTTGTTCCTATCGTGTTCCTGGCATGTTAAGAAATCGTTTACGATCTTCCATGGACTACTGTATTTAGTTAGATTCAATTTTATTTAGAATTCAAATGGGGATAGAGCTTGTAAGAAGCTATTTGTATATAAGTAATATAGTCTAGAATAAATTATGTCACTCTTGAAAAACAAAATTAGACAAGCATCTCCGATAAGTTAAACGGGAACCGTCGAATGCAACGCAAAATAATCAATCTGCAAAGAATTAGAATCACACAGCGAATCATCTGGTCCAATCTTCAATATAAATTGAAGTAAATACAACCCTAATCATAGTTCTTATTAATTTAATTCGTAATCTTGAGTATATTATTAATTTTTAAGTACTATTCGTTGTTGACATGTACAAACTTTTAACATATCGAAACGTCAACATAGTTGTAAACAATTTGCGTATAATCGAAACTTTACTTTCGTTCCAAAATATAATTTCCAAAGAGAGAATAAATCGAAAATGTGCAACTATTGTCCGTTATCGGTATCTATTATATAATGTAATCAATATTAAAGATAGTGCAAACACAGCTATTGTTAATGGGGGATATCAAAAGTAAATCTTTTAAAGAAGATGAAACAATGAAAAATATTATTTATAGAATACGTTGACTTCATGTTGACACAATCGGTATGTAGAAAATAGACAGGATTGACGCGATGCAATCTTATCGCTTATTATCTATGATATAACAAGGTTATCGGCGATACTATTTAAACTACTTTATACATCTAGTAAACTTTTTTCCTTTCACGACGCCACTCGAATAAACTATGTACTTTGTACATTTACTAAACTAGTTTTCGTTACACTATGAAACGATCTAGCTATATTCTCGACCACTCGTTTCCTGGATCTCAACATTCTACGCGTTAGTAAAAGCTTCCCTAGAAATGCCAATAAATATTATATTCGTGGAACACTCCACCTCTGCTTGGTCGATTAACGTTGTATGTATTACTTTCTGCAGAGCTATCGCTACAATCTCTAATAATGATAGTCGAGATTGCTCTGGTTCGGATAATGCAGCTTCGACTTGCTCTATTTTTGCCCTATCTTTTTTTACGTAGTAATTTCCTACGATACCATCCCAGATATACTCGCCTTCCGGAACAATTGGAAACAATCCGAATCCCAATAATACTTTCCAGAGATTATTTGTAAAACGAGTACACCATTTCCACATAAACGTATTAGAATACCATCGTTTCATTATCTTGGAAAGTGCATTTACATGAACTTTCAGCGAGCAATAGTGTACGATATAAAAGCTTCTCGAAGGCTGAACTATTTACAAAAACAATACTTGAAGCGAAGTGAAAATGCAAAAGCTGCAGTTCGATGCTCGTAACAACTCTATCCGAGCTCCAACAAAACGTGGCTACAGTTTGCGTTAATCGCTTATAATTTTCGTCTTTTCATGTCAATAAATTGATTTTTAGCAAGTATTTGAACTTTACGTTTGTTCATTTGTAGACTGAGTGTGATTTAAACTGTATGCTTTGAATGTATGAGAATATTTCACTGCGAATGAGTGTTTGAGAATGTTTCTGTTTGACTGATTGTATGAGACTGTTTCAAGTGCGAATGTTTGATTTAAGGATACACAATTTGGGACGATGGTGCTCAGTCGCGTCAAGAACGTAACAACGAGGGAAATATCAAATAAACGAATCAGTCACGTTCTATTTATCTCCTATTAAATTTCCTATTTCGTAGTGTATGTATGCACGTGTACTCCAGGTAAATATAATGGATTAACATTTCGTCGAGACCTCATTACAGCTCTTTTGTCGAGCGATATATGTATGTACTCCCTAATAATCCGAAAAAATTCCAACGAACTGTACCTATTTGTCAAATAATAATTATACCGGAACGTGGTCGTATAATTATGTTATCGATGAGGTCACATCAATCGTTTAAAGCCTACTCATAATGAATCTCTGCTGTTCTCGTCCAATGAGAATTTTCAGAGGTCCGCTAATGTTAATTAAATTCAATTAACGTGATCAGAGTTTGTCAATTTTGCTTCGTCGGAAAATGAAATCACGAACGGAAGGGAATCGCTTTGATTATATTGTTGCTTTGACCAAATGCAAAAACGATATTGAAAATTGCTTTCTAGCAGTTATCGATGCAACACGATACGTGGCATGGATGATATTCGGCGTAAGCGTAATATTCGATGGATCGAGCCGACTATAAATATGTATAACAAATTGGCATACAGTATTATGTTGGTTAAAAAAAAACGACAAAACTATTAATAATTACCATTTACGAAAAAAATGCTGGCTTATTACGATATTGAGTCAATGTACCGTACGATGGATAGAGAAAATGTATTCAGTGGGCTCGTATAACGTATGATATACATACATATGAGCTCACTTGGAAATTTCGGGGTTAACGAAGTTATGCGCTTCCAAAAACCATAAACGAAATTCTCACGAAATACGTCGTCCCAAGTACCTATGTAGTGCTTACTTTACACGCAGAACGTCGACCGGGATTTAGGAAAGTACTGAAAGTACACCTTTGTTAAACTTAAATGACTGTAAAGAGGGTGAAAAGAAAATTATAGTGACGCACGACTGTGGTAGTTAATAAGGGTTAATATAGAGGCAGTTACTAAAACTCGTTCAGAAGTATAAACGGCACCATCGAAGCGGCTATGAGACTTATCGATTTCGTTGTAGAATCGAAGTTTCGATAGTACAATGATTTTTCTTCAGATAATTTCGTTATTTCGCTCTCACATGGAATAATTTCTCAAATAACTGAAAAATTTCCCAGATTCTAAGTTCGCCTGTTCATCAATCTCTTATGTCAAATTATTTTATAAAATGATCATTTTTATCTGTTATTTGTTATCATGTGTGAAATAGAAAGTGACCAAACCCGATGCTTATCCTCACAGGGTTCACCTGTACGATAAAACTGAATTGTTCCTGTCAGACTGCTAATCGTTACGTGATTATTGGTATCGACGGATAAAGAAATACGAGTGTCATCGTTATTGTTACACAATATTCATTTTTAACCCTCAAGCACACAAATGAAGGAAAAAAGTTGGAAAATTCTACCAAGTATTCCACGACATGGTAACCTTAGTCCTTATCAAATTGCTGAAATATTGTATTCTATGTATTATTTAGTGAATATTAATAAAGAATTTTTTAGAACTGATATTTACAACTTTTTTAGATTTCCGTTGCCGCCCATTTTTATTTGTCAGTTTTAATTATTTTTTTCATGTTTTGTTCGTACTTGAAAGATATTGTATTAAACGCCACAAGCGATTATTTGCACTTTTTTCTTATTAAAAATATCATTTTTACGCGTCAAAACGGCCATGACGTAAACGTAAAAATTCATTTACTTTCATTCTACAAAGTAATTATAATTTTTGCAACGAGTCGTTTCAGTATATTTTTTTTCCATGAAATACAGATCAGGACCTTTTCACTCTCGTGTAGTAAATCCCTTTTATCTCTTGTCAATAGAATGGTATGATTTTATCTTTCTATTATTAACTTTCATTTTTTGATAAATATCTTTACTGTACAAACACATCTGACAATGTAATCTTCACAGTGTTGTTATTCTAAAATCATCGACGCATCGATTAAAAAAAAGACACTTGAATCCACGTAGTACAGTCCGAGATATAAACGACTCAAGATGTCAATTATCATTACGTTTGCATGTATGTACTATCGTAAATTAATCAGCCGCATCGCTGATAAGATAAAATAATTTTGTCTTGTTATCTAATAAAAACTGACCGAGTGATACGCATGTAACAAATACGTGACAAAGCAACAAAAAATCTGAAACTGCTTGGATTCGCGAACAAGATATCGTCCGGATACATATGTATGTATATGTATATAGAAAGAATCTAAATGATTTTGATGTTATTTCGGTGAGAGGGTTTCTAATATTGGGTTCGTGCGAACAAACGTACTCGTTAAAATAGATTCGTTCGTAAATTGTAATGGACGACGCTCCGCAAATCCGTTCAGAGCGTTAAAGAAGTTAGGGATACTAAAGTTCTGGTGTCCGATGATTTTTCATTTTGATCCGTGTTTCACGGGAGTTTCGCGAGTCGAGAATCCGTTCCGTTTCATTGGCAAGAGGCGAGCGAATCGTAAATTGCCGTCGGCGGGACCGTGGAAAGCTGAAAAGTAGATATTCGTTTGGCGTCACTGGTGGAAGTGAATTTTTCCAAAGTTACGCGCTGACGTTGATTTTTCGCGCGTCGACCTTTACGCGCCGCGCTGCGTGGATGCACACCGAACGAATACACGCGCGACGCGACACGTGTCACTCGCAGTTTTGACGGTTCGTAAAATTCTTCCCTGAATACAAATTTCAATCAAAGGATAAAAGATAATTTACTGTTTATACGATGCTTCTTTAACGGTAGATTTACGGAACTCCTGAATATTACTTGGGGGCAATTTATGTCGAATTTCAATAAAAATATGTACAATCGTTTCTCAAATTTTCGCAAGTAACAACTTCGCCAAAGAGGATCGTTCCCTCGTGGAACTAATTCAAAACTCGAATTATTTAATGATTTATGAAATAAAATTGATGCCAAAATACGGAATATAAAGCAAAGATGTACATATGTCTTGTAGGTGAAACTATGATTTATGTATAATACTCGGGCAAAGGTTCGTTTGAATGCACAGAAGCTCGTCGAGTAATGCAACATCGACCGTGGAACAACAATCTGCAGGTAGTGTAACAACATAGAAAAACTAAGATTGTCAATGAATCGACTGTGTCTGTGTCGTACATAGCACGAGGTAAATCTAGATTACTCATGCAAATGAGTTTTAAACGGGCCATCGCTTGCAGATTATTCCGTACTCGATAATCCCCGGTAACTCAACACATTCCGCTTCATGATGCAAATGGTTTAATAAAGTGATGCACAAAGTCCGTACCGCAAGCTAATTTGGCCCTCTCAACAAGTTTATCGGACCCGCATAATTTCCTTTCTTTTTTCGCAAGAATTACACATTGAGGGTGGCCGTCTGAATAATCTGTTTACCTTTGAAAACAGAAAAAAAAGTGAAATAATCATATTTTTATATAAAATTATACGTTTCTTCTTATTTAACTTTTAATACATATAGCGCTTTAATGTCCATCCGTACCTTTGACGAGCCTCGAATCACCGAATGCACAGCCATTTGAACAAAAAAAAGTAACCACTGCGTGCCTTTCATTCGATTTGTTGTTTTGAAAGAGCTCGTTCACACCTCGACCGCCATTCATACTATTCAAGTAACTGTAAAAACTACAATTTTTAAAATATACGTATTTTCGGCGTCCAAATTGTCCGATTTTCTATCGTATTATCGTAAAGAATAGTACAAAATAAATAAAACATTTTTATAACGTTCCAACATTTTTGTCACCGAGTGTATGAAAACTCGATTCGTCGATACGAAAGGCACTAAAAGGACATCTGTCAGAGCACAATATGATAAACTACTGCATAGAAACCCGCAAATCGCATTCAGATTGGTATTTACTCGAGCAATGGACTCGACCTTGCACCGCAAATCATATTGCAATAACACGTACAATACACGGAATAGAATATAGTACAAATATAGAGAACCATTAATTCGCGAGAAAAAAGAAACCGGAGGTACATATGTAAGTACCAGACTCGCGAAACGCTGAATATCGAGTAAATACTTTCGCGTGGGGAATATTTTTTACGAAGAAGAAAAACATCGATACAAGGATTTAGACAAAGTATAAGCTTCGGAGAGACAGTCTGAACAACGGCTTATTTTTAAATATCAACTGGAACAGAAAGCTTAAAAACGGTAGAGCAAATGCAGTATGTTTGGAATATTTAATTGTTTTTGGACATAATGGAGGTGGAAAAGTTTGAAGGAAAAGAAACATTAATGTTCATAGATAGCACCACGGATAAAAATATAAATTTAAACGTATCGAAGGTTAACGTGAAAATTTACCTTTCAACGAGACGATGATGTTAATCCTCGAACGCCTCTGTCGGGTCCATTTTGACCCAGATTTTCGAGAGCTTCGTCGAACACTTCGGTTCACGATGGCAATCTTGAGCCGATGATTGTTTATATCGGAGACGATAAGGCGACTTGGGTGTCGAAATGAATTCTTTAGGGTGGATGAAATCATTTCTTGACAAAAATGCAGAAAAAAGTTTAGACGAAAGCCGAACGCTTCTTTTATATCTACAAAACTGCATGTCGATAATAATTGGACTACGATTCGCGATAAAGAAACATCTGCAATTTGTTCAAGATGTGATTTTACCCCTTTGGTTCGAATGAAAAATGATTTTGTGCTACTCCTATTATCGTGTCACTTTTGTAGCCCGTGTGTGTTATGTGATTCTAGTCTCCCGTACTAAATTGAGATGCCCATCTGTTCGCAGGTAAAAAACCGGTTTAAAATTGCTGCAACATTTCGCTTCTCCCTTTTCAGCGAATAATGCACAAAAAGAGGTCAAATTCTCGCATTTCATTTAATATCCCCGACTCTCTGAAACATCACTACGAAACTGTTCGATGTTTTTAACCGCGTCACTACCGCCGAGAGAGATCTAAACTTTGAAAATAACTTTGTTTCGCATAATCCGAAAAATTCAATTTAATCTCAGTTCAAAACGTATCCAATTTCTCTGTTTTAATTACCGTTTCTCTATCTTTCTCGCGCACAACAAAATAAGAAATCTTACCCTTTTGTTTGATAAAACTTTTATAAAAAAAAAAAAAAAAAAAAAAAAAGCTTTCACTGTTTTTGTTGAAAACTCGAACCGTAATCTAATTTCGCGATAGGAGATCTGAAGATAGCAAAGTTTTGGAAACGCTGTTTCGCAATCATCTCGTTTGACTACTCCTACCACGACGCAAATAGATTTTACGCTTCCAAATATGTATCTCGTAAGACGAATTCGAACATCAGTTCGCTCCCATCTTCGATATACAGCGTTTTTCTTCTAATTTATTTCCATTTGTTAAAATGACTTCGAATCGACGGTACTACAGTTTTTATTAGACAGAGTTTAAAACACGCAGCCTTGGTACCGTGCGTGTATTGGTCCAAATGCTCGTTCTACTGGCAAGAACCAATTATGCCAGGCAGCGTCCTTCTGTTCAACGCGTCTCGAAACCATGACACGCGTTGCGACGTAGTACCGTTTACAAACTATAGTGTATATTTTTGTCTTTAAACGTAATACTAAATTTATTTTAAACAGATCCCATCGCCCTAACATTCTTCCCTCGTGCATCTTCTATTTATGTAAAGAAAAATTTAAAAAGAACGAGAATCGATCCGATTAAAAAAATTTTATTAATACAATGTAAATAAAATTTCGTTGCTTCTGTGTAATGCTAGATCAAATACGGAACAATTGGTTTTATTGCCGCTATAAAAAGCCACTATCTCGTGACGTAATATCGTGCAGATAAATGACTAGCTCCTGAGAGCAGTGACGATACATGGTCAGTCGTTAGTCGCGAGTTACGTTCGGCAGCGTGTGGAACGTTCGACGGAGAAGGGTTATCTGAAGAAATTCGTAATCTTTCTTCAAAGAAATCGGCGCTTTTTAAGCGCGGTATCTCGAGAGTGTAACGTCAAGTAATTGAACTCGAGGAAAATGCACTTCTACCAGACTCGAAATATCTTAAGTAATTGATCAAAGGATCGATGGTCAACAAACCGTCAGCTGGATTCTGAACGTTAGCTGCAAGAATATAAGTCAAGTTCCGTATAAACAGGATGAAACTTGGTCTGTCCATTCTTTTAACGATATTGGCTTGCTGCCAGATCGCGAATGGCTTACGTATACTCGGGATATTTCCCAATAACGGGAAAAGTCATTGGCTTACGGGAGAACGGCTGTTGAAGAGCTTAGCGGAACGTGGTCATCAAGTGGACGCCATCACGCATTTCCCCCAGAAGAAACCATTGCCAAATTACAATGAAATCTCCATGAAAGGTACCTTGGAAGAGGTGGTGAACAATATGAATGCTTCTATCCTCGAAAAACTGTCTTCGACCAGTGTGAAACATATAATCGATATGGGCTCGAGAGTTTGTACTTTATTGGGCCACGAGAAGTTTCAGAACCTGATAAATAATCCACCCAAGGATCCGCCGTACGATTTAGTCATCGTGGAGGTAAGCGAGCGACGAAATTTCATTTTACTGCCTGCTCGAATACAGTAGAACCTCGATTATTGCAAGAAAACCGGACTGAAAATTTACTGCGAGTATCGAGGTTCGTGTAAAGATCGAGGTAATCGCTACTAATACTTATATGTATACACATACTTGAATGAAAATAACTTGATTACTTATTTACTATTATAATTGCAAAATAATCACACGTGTGGTTATTGCTTAATTCTAATTGAAAGTCACCAAACAAATAAATGCAAAGCTAAATAAAAGGATCGACGTGAAATTTAAAGTGGAATTTTTAATTTTTAAATGTCTTTAAATATGTATAAGAAAAACACACTGTGTAATTATCGGTAAGATTTTTACCTCGTTAAGATATCTCGAAAATTGTCTTCTTCTCGAATATTTTAAAATTCATGTTTACGTTTCTCCTATAAACATTGTTGACAGTTATCGATAATATAGTGCAAAATGACTCGAGAGTCAGAATATTAAACGTAGCTCGATAATGCGAAAGATAATTCAAATACTGAACTGACAATGTCTTCCGTCCCATACTTTGATAACGCGTTAAAAAGAAAGCATTCCAGGACTGATAGTCTTGGGAGGACTGGTGGTTCAAATAACAACTCCACTATCTACTCCACAATTATTAAATGATTATTCGCGGGTGTGGGTGTGTAGACGACAACATCTTTACCAGACTGATGTGGTATGAACGCGTCTTTGCGGACTGACTGAGCCTCGTTCATTCGCCCCCTTCGCAACATAAGTATGTACATATGTATACATTTCCTTACCCTGATAATAAAGGGAGATGAGAACAAGAGACAGGGCAGAAAGGTGGAAAAACGAAACTGGAAAATACTTAGCGTAGGGAAAGTTTAGTTACAGCGGAAAAGAGTCATAACAAAAAGTGAAGAGGCCCGGGGCCTCTGATCGCCAAGTGTTTAACAGGGGACGACCAGGCTCGCACGAGACCCTGGGAAAATGGAAAAATAGAAAGCTTAAAACTATCCTTACATTTCATTCCCATTCATACCCTGGCAAGGGCGTAGTGGCGATACAATGGCCGCTACGGTCTTAAAAAAATATAGAGACAAGATTTTCTTATCCAGTGTTCCTCGCTATCAGTTTTTATACCCGTATTCTAGTTACTATTCTTCCTTGTACAATTTAAACAACGTTGATTTCGCAGAAACTCCGCGGGTTAATACAACGAGGGTCACGGTACTTTTTTATTGGCCAAGTTTAAATTAAACGATTTCATTTTTTCTCTTCCTACTTAAGAAACTGTTTAACCATTGAATTACAACTTGTTGTTCTCTATAAAAGACACGTATTCCACACCTTTTTGCGAAGCTCGATGAAATTCGATCAATCAACGTGTATTACTCTGTTTTTATTTCTCTGGCTGATTTATGAATATTGCAAAAACAAATTCTGATTATAAACACACACTTGCCTCTTAATCTAGGAAATTAAATAAAAAGTATCTCTAATCTTATCGTGTCGTAAGTGGTTTTCAATGACTCGTAATGTAAAAACATTCTTTCTTCGTCTAATAAAATTATTACACGGTAATCAGCTGTTGCATCATAATTTGCAAAGTTTAAATACATATCGACTAAACGTACGTAAAACTTGAATCTCGTTCGTGCAGACATTTTAATTTACGAACAGCGTCTTGTTTCGTGATAATTATGTATAATAAATGCAACTGTTGACTCTGTCGATCAATATTTAACGAAATCAATGAAGCGATATAAAAATACTTGAAACATTCTGAAAGTAAATTTTAAAAAGAATCTCGTAATATCTATAACAGTTGCGAAAATGTTGTAGACAAAGTTATGAATGATCGAAGCCGTTCGTAAATGTAGTTAGTTATGTAAGTTCATGTTGACGGAATAAAACAAACGAGGCAGTTAGGTAGCAGTATAGTAACCTCTTTACATAATATGAGTCATTGAATCTACGTCTTACACAACGAGTGACACTTGGCAAGCATAATTCTCACACACGATGTACACCAATATTGACACCTATCAAAGCGCAATATGTATCCCTGTCGTCTCTTAATCTTTGTTTAATTACCAATTACGTAACAAGATCAATTTGGAAAATTTCCTCGTGATAAAAATATTCATGGATGTTTTCGCGATAGAGATGACAGTTGAAAATGATTTAATTTCCCCACGCGTAACTATTTCTATTTCTGTTTTGTCTGTTTTCTTATGTTTACATTCTTGTAACCGATGTCGAAGCTTGAACATGTATGTATGTAGACAGAATGAGGTTGCAATTCGGAATATGGGTTAATTTATTCCGTGACTGAAATTCAAGGATTCGAACGTGTCGATTCGTATTAAACGCGTATCGAAAAGGAAATATCTTAAACAATGTATTGTACATGTATACACACAGTGATGACGGCTGTATATCGCATTTACGTATAAGCTAGAGTTCAATTTTCAATCTACATATATTTTCTTAGGAAGATTGGAAAATTTTCGACGTGTAACGTTCCCAAACAACTTTTAGCTTGCCCTAGAAACTAACAATAAGGGCTGTGTTTATTTCACGAACACAACGAATTAGTAAATACGTACATGGGTGTTTTAAAAGATGCTATCTGTTTTGTTTATAAACTGTAAAACTATGGAATCGAATAGGCCAAAGTTTAATTATTAAGGTACTTATTCCGCTATAGGAATTATGTATGTAAATTTTCGTGGTAAAACACACACGCGCAAATAATAGCTGTCGTTGTTACACCGAGGCTTTCCGAAGTAAATACATACACACTGGTGGCCAACTGAATTTGTACGTGGATGTTGAAACTTTGGCCAGAGTGCTCGTAGAGACCCCATTATATGTATGTATTATACGATACTTGGCAAGTACAAATACATTAGTTCAAAGTCAAAGTGGAAGCAATCTGTTCTCAGAGTGACAATCGTGAGTTAAACGCCAAGTTTGACCAGATATTGATCGATCGATCGATGTGGTTAAATCAATTTACACGTTTTTTTCCTACAATTCACGATCCTGGAGAAACAGAAATTCGTAACAGGAGACTAGGGAAATTAGTTTCTTTTAATAATATGTAGTTGGTAGTTTTAAATCGAGTCGTGATACCCGATATCGTTGCTCTAAAATCAGTCTTTCTTGATTTTTTTTTTATATGAAATTAACAGAATTCTCGATACTTTTTCCAGTTATTCATCGCGCCCTGCTTCCTCGGATTTGGTCGTCACCTAAAGGTCCCCATGATTGGCGTGATAGCAGCAAATTTTCACGACTGGCTCTCAAACAGTGTGGGATATCCGCATAATCCATCCTTCATGCCAGCCCTATTCGCTCCCTTCGGCCAACGAATGACTTTTTACGAGAGGCTAGTGAATACCTTCATAACGAACACTATCGCCGTACAAATGACGTACTACATGAACTTTCAACGTGAATACGTGAAAAAATACTTCAACATCGACGTCCCGGCCTACGAACTTCACCGAGATCTGTCAGCGGTTCTGGTGAACTCGCATCACAGTTTACACGGAGTTAAACCGACGACACCAGGAGTGATCGAGATCGGTGGTTTACACGTCACCGAAGACTCGGATCCACTTGCCCCGGTGAGGTAGAGGTTTTCGATCTCAGGGAATTGCTTTCATCTATTCGCGCACGTTTCTTCTAAAGGTCGTAAGAATAATCTAATCTGATGATTATCGCGTAAATAAATCCACGATCGATAACTATGATTACCGTAATGACAAAGTACTCGATCAAAGCCTCGAACAGATATCGAAGTCGAATTAACATCGATCGGGTAAGGATCGAGATTAGCAAACATACGAAAACATACGAATTCTTTTGACAGAAACGAGTTTGAAACGAGACGAATGATAGATCAGAGTTGAGCATGAACGTAAAGAAAGTTCATGTTTGGTACACTTTGGTATTCAAAATTAATTTAGACGAACACGCTGCGCAAGCTGCTTCGAGTATCCACAAAACTTATAACAGTATTAATACAGAAGTTAAGACAATTTTGTCTTTCCAATATCCGCAAAACTTTAACGACTTAGATTCGATGTAATCGGCAGTGGGCATGTTCTTGAAACTTAACAGGTTGATTTCTATGAAAAACATGCCCTGCAGTTGATCACGTGTATTTCCTGAAATACAATTTGTTTACGAAAAACGACGGAACTTTCAAAGAAAACACCGACTGCAACGTCCGACCTTTATGTAATATACCGTCGTATTTAATATCCTCCTATTATTCACGGAAATTAGTTAGAAAAAATTAATAATTGCGTAATAATATTCCTCTGGCTCAATTTCGAAATAAACTACTAGAACTGGAATAAATTGTAAATTTTTAGAGACATTTGTAATCGTTTTTGTTCCGGCAAAACTTCAGAAACGTGTCGTAATTGTGTTAACGCTGAAAGAGCATTGAAGATAATTGGTTATAGCTGTGACGTAACGTGCAATTTACGTGACCCGCACGTCGTGGAAAAATTGCAAGTTTTAGAGACGCGTGTACGATCAATGATAAAAAAGAAAAATATACTTCAGCTCCAAAATTTAAATTCATTATGATTTTCTTGCGATTCGATAGGAAGTGAAAAAATGGCTGGACGAGAGCAAGCACGGTTGCGTATATGTCACGTTTGGGTCAATGATGAGGATCGAAACGTTCCCCGAATCCCTTCAGAAAACGTTCTACAAAGTTTTCGAAAAACTCGCCCCAGTTCGAGTGCTGATGAAAATCGCGAAGAAAGAGGAGCTCGTTCCAGGACTGCCGAAGAACGTTATGACACAGTCCTGGTTTCCACAAGTGGCCGTCTTCAGTGCGTAACCAAATAACTTGAACAATCGTTATTGAAAAATCTGAACAGGATTCGAAGAACGCTGAAATTTCTTCTTAAATATGCTATAAAAAATATAATTAAAACGCAGCCGCGTAAGATAGCCCGTGTACTTCGAGTCTGGTATTTAGCGTTCATCCTTTTGTATCGAGAAGCCGAGGCAAATATTTAATCGAAAAATTTCAGAGCACAAAAACACAAAGGCATTCCTCACGCACGGCGGTCTACTGGGTGTCCAAGAAGCTATATACTTTGGAATTCCTATGATCGGTATTCCTCTGTTCGGTGATCAGCCCACCAATTTACAGAACGCTGCCAGTAAAAATCTCGCCGTGTCTCTTGGATCCCTTAACAATGTCACGGAAGAAACGCTAACGTACGCGTTTGATGTGATCTTGAAGAACAATACGTATCGGTACGTACACGTAGCAACTATATCTTACACTCTGTATCATTCGCGTATTTACAAAACCGTTCTAAAATAAAAAGAAATGGTGAATTTTCAGAGATAACGTGAAGGAAGTTTCCCGACTCTTCAAGGATAGACCGATGAGCGCTGTGGACACGGCAGTTTACTGGGTGGAATACGTTGCTAGAAATGGAAACGTTCTACAATCGCCCGCCATTTATCTTTCTTGGTGGCAACTACATCTCTTTGACGTGTATGGCTTTGTACTTGCCAGCATCGCGGTATTGCTCTACGTCGTGATTCGCGTTCTTCGATACCTGAAGGAACTGCTATTCGGCTCAAAATCCCGCTCGAAAAGGAAAAACAAATCGCCGGAGTCGAAAAAGAAGAATTGAGTTCTCTTAATGCATAAGTGCGTGCTGTGTGTGTGTGTGTGTGATTAACAATTAATTTCATTTTATCGTTCGGTATAATTTCAAGCTCTCGATGAGATAACGATACCTTGAATACTCGAACATTTCGTACATTTGTATATCTTCGTCTCAAGGTTTACCGAATCTGAGACGCTCCGATCGGACGTAATAAAAAATCCGCAAATATTTTTAAAAGTTCTTTCCGTTATATTCGCATGCATTAAAAACATTCAATTCGTACCTGGTGGGGGTGTTGTTGAATTCATGGCCTGTATGTAGCATTCTTGCTCCCTTTCAAGTTTAATACGACGGAATTCCTCGTCAATGAGGGTGCTCCCTACTGTCATATTCCCGGGCATCTGTTGCAAACAAATATTCATCGAATTACTACCCGTATACATAATTGTTTATCAAATTCATAAAAAACCGACAAAAGTGTCTCCATAATCTACAATACAAAACTTTTAATCTCGATCTATTCCACAACACTTAATAAATCTAAAACGATAAAACATAATGTCGACAAATTACCGTTAAATAAATTATCCTTTGGTCCGCAGGCACGTCGTTTAAATACCTCGTGAACGTAAGTCGCGCATAAAGAACTGTAAGTAAAAACAAATATGAAACGAAAAAATTAAAAATTGTAATTAAAAGATATTAATAAAATGAGTAACTCAAAAATCAAACAAACTATAGTAATTTAAAATAATATATAATAAGGAATCATTTTCTATTTCTTAATATACATAACGTACGATTTCGACGATATTACGTAATAAAATTCGAATCAGGAACTTGTTCCGGTAAAAGGTATGGTTCGATCGAACCAACCAACATAATTGAAATCAAAGTTTCCGTCGATAGCAATACTTTGTTCCTACACATGCCATAGCAGCGCTACGACTAAAGGAATTATGTACAAGGTTTCCGACTCGCTTCGCTACTCATTCGTACCGCGAAACATAGTATGTACACAGCTTCGTACAAGTTTCGCGATCCGACGAAAACTGAGTGACAAGTTTCGGTGTTCCCGGTTCTCGTGTCGAGTTTATCCTGGCATCGATGCAACTACCAACCATTTCATGACAATATGTACTTCGCGAAAGGAACACGGGAACTCGTGGAATTGGCTTTTGTTTAATCCTAGCGGAAGAAAGCATTCACGTCGAATGAAAATATTTCGTTAATCGAGTTTTCTTCGAGGATGCTTTTTATTTTTTTTTTGCGAAACGAAGTAACATTGTTTACGAAATAAATTTACTCGTTTTATTTCAGAGCGTATGCTTTCACAAAATATCGTAGTTTCTAAACCGGGGTACGTAAACGTCAAAACGCGGTGAATATAATCGACGAGCAACAGCTGCTTTCTGACAAACCAAATCACTTTCCAGTTGGACAGGACTGGTGAAATATTCAGCAATTTATCGGCGCGTTGATAGTCCGGCAATTAATCGCGCCGCGGCGGTCTATTTCCTTGCAAATACATACATATTCGCCAATCACCGTCGACACGGTCGTGCCTTCAATTACAACTAATTTCGGTATACATAATAACCTAATAATATGTCGTCCCACGAGCAGAGTAATTTAGTCTGCCTTCGACTGAAATTCCCCGAGGACATCTCAACCTCGGAATGCAACGATTCCATTTGTATACGTACCGATCAAGGTACCGAAGGGGCGCAAGGTGCAAGAAAGAAAGTATATTTAAGGAATAGGAAACGTCCGTTGAATCGCTGTCGCGAGAGAAAATTCTTGCTCGCTTTCGATTACATTCTTTTGCAAACAGTATCCGGAGGCCGTATCGTTTCAATTTGCCGTCGAACCGTAGGTAATTGGAAAGATAAGTATGCAGGCATTATAAAATCCTTATCCAAATAATTCAATATCAAGTTTAACAACGACAGCTGTCCTATCGTTGAACCACGCTTTTTACTTGCACGTTCGAGAAAAATAGAGATGTTACAGAAAATGTGAAAGAACAATGTCGAACAACTCTGAATTGTAAAATGAAAATATATTTCGCGTAAAACTATTAAAAGCTTATTCGAACGACTGTCCGATCGAATAAACGTCGCGAATGTGAATCGCTATTCGGTGTTTTCGCGTCTCTTTTTTTCTGAACGGATGCATCATGAAGAAAGTTCTAAGAAATATTGTTAAAGTCCGTGAATTGCATCGAATATAATGGCTTCGCGGTTCACCTTGAAACCACAGACGGTTGTATTTTCGCACGTGCGCGCCACATGCGCTCCAATTTTACTATTACGCTAAGCTATAGTAGATCGGTACGCTTAAAAACACGCGTACAGAGAATTAACGCTAAATAATAATTAATTGTTTTTATATCGATCGAACCTTGCAATGATTTCTTGTAAAAGTTTTCGCCGAGGAAGCGATGGGTCACGGATCAAAAGTCACTTTATCGAATGACGCTAACAAGTTTTAATAAACGTACGCTCGAAAAAGAAACACGTCAGAGATATCGATTACAAGTTTTGCTGAGACCAATCCATGTTTCATCGGTAAACATCAATATCGCTGACTACAATAACTCGAAAAAAAAACACACACATTGCGGTCAGTATAGTTTCATCTTACAAAATAACAGGGAAACAACATTTATTTTTAAACCTTCGGAAGCAAACATATTTTTATTAATAAGACAGAGTCGTAAGGTTTTCGAGCGGATAATCTAGGACCAAGGCCTGCGTAAGATTATTTTGGAGATTGGCGTCCTATCGAAATAGGTTCGCGTTATGTGTTGTTTAGTCTTGCGCGCAAGATCCTTCAGATTTTCTGCTGGTATAAATATATGTACTTGGAAACAATATCTTCAATCTATTTTTCCCCAAATTCGTTTAACCGATGGACACCATCGTGCAATTTGCCGAGACACGAAGAGACAGATCTTTCCGATCGTTCGACGATACGTTGACGCGAAGACGAAGAAAATGTCCAGCTTGAATAGACGCGTGGTGGTAAATGGTTCTAAACTCGGGCAGGAGTTGCGAAAGACACACGTGTGGTAAACGATCGCATCACGCTCGATAGGTTGAAATTGTCGTATAAATTGGCTTCGCGATTGGATGTCGGCAAATCGCTGGATAAACGGAATCGCGGATCTCGTTACGAATAATCGTAAAACTTTTAACTTTTGGATCCCCAACGATCCGATGCATAAAACTGTACGAACAAGTTTAACCTTACAATTCTACCAAAACGTCCTAATTCATCGAATCGTCTAAACATGCATAAAGTAAGCAAATAAATTGAATTTAATATTTTCGATCGAGAAACGTAGTCTTCCATTTCATCGAAACTACATTATAATACATGGCTACTTTCCACGAATCAATTTGAAATTCTTTTTAATAAATGCTCGAGCATTCCCGATCTTTTAATATAAAATTGTCATGGATTCGTTTCAACTCGTTATTAATAAAATTGCCTGCCCCTCTCCAATTTCGCGTGTAACTGACGTGATCGATTTCAGTCCTCGTCCACCAGAACCGCGTTTACTACCACATCAATGCCGTCATTGATGTATCGCACGAACGTCATTTACATTGTATATACGTCGTATGTAAACGCAAAGTTCGATGTGGCCGTACCAGGAACCTCCCTCGTTACATCTGATTCTCTTCATTTAGGCTGTTACCACGGACGCGATCCGTATAACGTTCACTGTGTTATTTTCGCCAATACATCGATCGGAATCATTGAATCTTTCAGTAGCCCGTACACGATATGTCGATTGCTTGAATTTGTTGGAAAATTCTACCAATTTTACGCAACACTTGACGGTTTTCTTTAAATTCCAGCGAAGAAACAAGAAATAAGAGCGTAGAAATAAATTTTTATCCAAGTCGAGTGTGGTTTATCGATCCTCGAAGAGGTTGTCTTTCGGTAAGTACAGAGGTAATTATTTACATTTAACACACACTGATACGCTTCTGACATCGCTTTGTTGCTTCAGCCACCGAGTGCACGTAATCCGTCACCGCTATCCCATTCACTTTCGTCCGTCGGATGGTTAGGTTCACGCGTGGTTAACTCTCACCCCGAAACAGTACATACACATTCGATGTCAACCCTCTATACGAGCCACGTAGAGAACTCTATATTTCGCAAAGGAACGAAAGTTTACTCTTACGTGCGTATGTATGTATGTATGTATGTATGTACAAAAGTGAAGATACTAAATCATAAGATATGTACTTTGAATTAAGAACGATCACGAGAATTTAGAAATTTGAATCTCACGATCGGTGTTTTACTTTACTTTTTCCACGAAAGATTCGACTTTGCCTTTCTTCAGTCCCCAGTAGCGGTCTAGTTCTTATTCTTTGTTAGACTCTTCGGAGCTCTAGTTAAATAATCCTCGTGAAAAATTCACTAAACGAAAGAGAAAGACACTGAATCTGATTAAAGCGACGATACTGAAACTCGATTGAACCTCTTGGAGTTCACCGGAGTTTTCCCCCGGTTCGCTAGGTACACTGTACATTCGACATCAATCCGCAAAATTTAATTCCGCAATAACGTGTCCGATAATTCAGTTTACGGCCCGCGGACAAATTCCTTTCATTCCTCTCTAACGAATACCTTTCTTCCTGGTTGCACGCTCGAAGGGAGTACGACTCTGGGGGTTGAATTGCATTTCCAACCCCTGTCTCGAAATAAACGAACCAGAGGAGACGGACGAGGTTATAAAATAACATTCAATTCGAGAGAAGCAATACCGAGCCGCGGTTCTCGCGAATGAAACGACATTGTTCTCTTTCGAATGTTTTATTGTCGAATGACCGATGAATATTAGGAAGAAACAACGAGCCGGAGAAACAAAAGTTTCTAGCTATACATATAGTAATTAGAAAATACATTCGAAACAAAGAAAACGGTAGCACAAATCGAAGCGCGCAAAAAAAACTTTCCCACAAACTTGATATCGATACTAAATGGTCGTATCTGACAATACGACGTCCAAATAAGATACAAACGCAAACTTAACGATCTCGAAGCTCGCTTTGATTTAAACCGGAAATTCTAACTCGGATCTGATATTGACACTAATTGGTATCTTTGCCAAGTCTAAGCCTGAATAAAATATGAAGAGAAACGTGACCAAAGCGAGGTTCGCTTTGATCCTCAAACATAGACGCTCTCGTGGCATCTCCTGGACACAACTTCTTTCTTCTCCAAAATCTCAAATGGAATTTCATTATGTTTAAATCGAAAATTGAATGTTCTTGGTTGAATGTCTTTAGTACAGTCTTATAACACGGTATGTATTAAATATAATTAAACGCGTTGAAGGAGCGTCGATTGTACAAATTGTTGGAAATTGCAAAGAAAAGGTGCATTGAAAGTTTAAATTAATCCACAGTACGTCACAATTGCTTCACCTTAGTCTTAAATTTATTTCCGCTGCTTCCAACTTTGGATTTACTTCGTTGCAAGGGGGGCGAGGTTGAAAGCAAAGTCGAGCAAATTTTATTCACGAATAATGAATAGAAATTTTAGGTTCATTAGCGAACTAACTTCCGTTAGTTTCCGTTTACGTTTCATTCGCAAATTCATTGCTGAAATAGAATTGGTTAACGGATTTGTCAAACCACCGGCCACGCGAGGTTTACGAGTCTAAAATTTTTATTCGTTATTCGTGAATAAAGTTTGCCCAAGTTTGCTCTCAGGTTCGGTCCTCCCAGCTACGAAAAAAATCAGAAATTAAAAGAAACAATTCATAGCAGAGATATTCTAATTTAACCTGTATACAAAGTTAAAAATGTCATGTGATACGACGTATCGTCAGAATTGGCTGTAACATATTGATTCTCACATTTTTCATAACTATATTTACCTTTTTTAACCTTTTTTATTACGTTTCTATCAACGCTACTACTATTTTTTCTTTCGTTTATTCGATGCAATTAGTAGTTGGCGGTGCTGTTTATGAGAAATGCTACGATCGAAGGCAAAGGGGCACACGTAACACATTGCAAAAGAAAACTTTACGTTTGAAGAGTAATATTGGACACTCTGTGACTAGACGCTGAAATTATGGCGAAACGAAGCGTGCAGAAAGAACGTACCAAGAAGCTTTTTCCACGAGACGAGCATAAATTGCTTCGAACAGCTTCCAATTCTACGAAGTTTGTAAGAGATACAAAAAACAAGTGCACTTTAAATGTTTCGAAATCTATTGTTCTTAAAAATATCGCT